AAGTCCCTTGGCCCTTAAAGGGGAAAGGTTGCCTAGCCCTGGTCTAGAAGTTCCTAGAGAAAACACTTCTCTAGGCATTTTTGGGTCCTCCAGCATGATTCTATGGTCAACCTCTGGCAGATGTTGACCACAGAGTTGCATTAGATGACCTGGAGATTCCTAAAGAGGTATTTTCTTAGGTAAAAAGAATAGTGTTTTTTTTATTTGCAGTTTTTCCTCATTCACAGGCATCATTTACCCTTAACCCTAGCAACCCACAGTAAATCACAACAGGAACATAACACGCAAAAGTATCTCCCTACTCCAATCTGCTAAAACATCAACAAACTTCACAGTTTATACTGATGAATTTTTAAAAACTGAAGTCATATTTGAATATGACTTTCAAGCAATCTTATGGATGACTTCTGTGTGTGTAAGTTGTGTGCTGTGTGCCTTCAAGTCATTTCTGACTTATGACGACTCTAAGGTGAAGCTATCATGGGGTTTCCTTGTCAAGTTTCTTCACAGAGGGTTTGCCACTGCCATCCTCTGAGGTTGAGAGTGACTTGCCCAAGGTAACCCAGTGGTTTTTCTGTGGCAGAGTGGGGATTTAAACCCTACTCTCCAGAGTCATAATCCAACATTCAAACCACTACATCGCACTGTCTCTCATACTGCATCTAAATTTAGGGACAGTAATTTGTGATTTTAGTAAATGAGAGGTAGAGACATCCAATTTCACATCGTCTCTCCTCCAGCCTGAAGCAACTGTTGTCAATATACCTTGCCACAGAACCTGCCTTGCAGACAGTGGACTAGATTGCCTCAGAGGGTAAAAGGTTCTCCATCTTTGAAGGTCTTTAAACAGAGGTTGGATGGGTAACTTTTAGGAGCGCTTTAGCTGTATATTGCTGCATGGCAGAGAGTTGAACTAGATGGCCCTTGTGGTCCCTTCCAGTTCTATGATTCTATTAATATTCATTGCTGCAAGGAAAAATTTCTTCTCCTTTTCATTCTGTGCTCCAGAATGTAGTCAGGGCTGTAAATGAACACCTCAAGCCCTGATTTTTACTCAAGCGTAGTTTATACTTCACATTCTTCTTGGCATCACTTTAATGCCTTGTCTAATATGTAATACTGCTTAGAGAAAAGCTGTGTGTGCAGGAAATCCACGGTAGCTTGCAAGAAGCGGATCTTGATCATAGGGCTTGACTATTGTGTAATAAGTAGTTCAATGTACTGTACGTTCCCTCCTGTGACTCAATCCAAAGAGTTGCCCTTTTTCAGTATGTGACATGTGGAAACTCTAGCTAAATGCAAGTAGTCTCCAAACTACCCTGCTCATACTCCAGTTAAGCAATTAATAAAGATATTGTTAAACTGGCCAATGTAAGCATCCTCAGTTTAGTGGTTTGAGTGTTGGACTAGGACACTGGGAGACCAGGGTTCAAATCCCCACTCAGCCATGGAAACTGACTAGACGACTCTCTAGGTCAGATCAGACTCTCTGAGCCTCAGAGGAAGGCAAGGTCAAACCCCTCTGAACAAATCTTGACAACAAATCTCCATGATAGGCTCATCTTAGGGTTGCCATAGATGAGAAATGACTTGAAGGCACATGACAACAAGCATCCTCAACCCATGATAGATCAGCAGGTTAGAGCCCCACCTTGCAATTCCTTGTGACACCGCTTTTGTTCTGTATGTTTCTGTTTAACTGTCTTTCAGAAGCATAGCTTTCATAATAATAAGTTTGTTTGAATTCAGTTAAATAGCCAATAATCTCTGTTAAGATTTGCTTTCCTCTCCAGAGTTGGGCTATTGACCGTTTTTGTTTTACTCCATACCACAGTTTGCCCAAAGTCACTGACCCTACAACTGCCATCGAATTTGTGCACCCAGTGTGCTCCATTCATGAGATTGAGGGTAGACAGACCCACTTCCAAGAATCACCCAGCTTTCACTTGGGTCATGTTTCCAGAGGTAGAGTTTCTCTCTTTCTTTGTACACTTTGCTGCTGCTGCTGCTATGTATGCCTTGTATCCACTGCCCTCTGTATCCACGGATTCTTTATCCACAGTTTCAAGCATCCACAGCTTGAAATTTTATTTTATTTAAAATGAATTCCAAAAAGTAAACCTTGATTTTGCCATTTTATGTAAGTGACACCATTTTACTATGCCATTGTATTTAATGGGACTTGAGCATCAATAGATTTTGGTATCCACAGAGGGTCCTGGAACCAAAGCCCAGTGGATACCAAGGTCCCACTGTGTACACAGAAAGAGCTTAACCTACGGGTGAAAAACTCACTCCAGCTTCATAGTCAGCATCCATTCATGGCACAGCCCAATTTCACTATCAGCTCATTATTATTACTGTGTGGGATGCCTGGCTCTTATGCCACCATAAACCTGGGGTTTCTGACTTTTCAGGCCTGTCAGAATTGTCAGGAACTGTACCTAAGAACTGGGAGAGAAACTAGAAAAAGAAGAACATCACTTATGTACAGCTGGATCTAAGCCCAATGCAAAGTCATCCAGTACCCAAGCTGAGAATAGGATATTGTGTTGAGATTGTTCTGGATCTCAGTCAATACAAGACACCCACACTTGCTCCCACAATAGGGATTTGGGAGTTAAATAGGGGCATTTGACTCCAAGTTCCTATTTATTGTTTTAGCTATCAAAATATTTAAATTCTATCTTGTATCATAACATCTCAGGGCAGCATAAAAACAAGATATTTTGAACAAACAACCCAAAACAATTTAAAAATATTTTTAAACTAAGGCATTGTTCAAATAGTCTAAAAACGTATCAGTTTACCAAGTAAACACAATGTAAAATTGTGCAAACGTTGACACGTTTGAACAAATAATTATATCCCCAAAGTCTTTAGTAAAAACCCATGTTTCCACTTGGCACTTAAACCAGTGTCACCGCCAACTGGTTCTCCAAGGGGAGGGATTTCACAGCTGGAGAACTCAGACAACGGAGATCACTGGTAGACCTCAATATTGGACAGGCACATATGGGGAGAAGGGTTCCTTCAGGTCCTAGGCCACTTAAGGTTTTAAATGTCATCACTAGCACTTAAAATTCAGACCTATGTGTATGTGTGTCGTGTGCCTTCAAGCTGTTTCCGACTTATTGCAACCCTAAGGCGAATCTACTATCATAGGGTTTTCTTGGCATTATTTATTCAGAGGAGATTTGCCATTGCCTTCCCCTGAGGCTGAGAGCACACAACTTGCCCAAGGTCACCCAGTGGGTTTCCATGGCCAAACAGGAAATCGAATCCTGATCTCTAGAGTTGTAATCCAACACTCAAACCACTATGCCACGGTAGTTCTTGTTAAGACCAGAGGTCAGTGCAATTCCTTTAAAACTTTGTCATGAGGTCTCTGTAAGTTGTTAATGTCAGAAATCTAGCCA